AGTCAGCAGATTACGAGAAACGACAGGTTCCTCGCGATGACGCGCGATTTTTGTCCTCGATCCATGAATGGCATTACTCTTTGCCTCTGATTAGGGTTACTATACTCTCTTAGTCACGAGAAAGGAGTTATACTTTACATTTTACTAGTTACATATTAAATTTCCGACTTTCTCTTATTACGATTGACGTTTTAATACGTTGTCATCTCAATAATGCGACAGTTGAAAGTTCGCCACACTGCAAGGTCAAAAATGAAAAGATAATAAACGCAAAACTAAACTAATATAACTTGTATAATTTGTAAAATAATTTGTTTATGCATCATTGTATTCGTTAGAAGAGACTCGTTAGAACAGACGCTGAACGAATTTTTATTATATCGAAATATTTACTTCATCATGCAAAAATTATGCATATCTCTCCGTTCTTTAAATAATCTTTTCTAGTTGTCACTATGATTAAAATAAAATTAGCCATTTAATTTGAAACTGTATTTATTAGGTCTACCTCAGTTATTAGTTTACGATATAAAAAGGTGTTACTTATATGAGAACACCCGGTATATGTATATACAGCATATCTCAGAATATTTGGGATTATTATTATTTTATATGCAGACAGAGCGGACTAAATTGAATCGGAAAGTCCTCTATTTAATTTTTTTATTTTCGCAACAGTTAACGAATTATTAATTATTAAAAATTGCTAGCTCAAAAATTAGTCCGGTCTATCACCGAATGCAAGTGCACGGCGAGATGTAGTCGCGATCGAGGTTGCTAGGCACTCGGAGAGTTATATATTACTAACAGCAATAGCTACTCACAAGTTGGACCCCCGCCCTCGTTCTGTGATGTGATATGATAATTGCATATACACACACGCATCGGCAAGAATGGCGTTCGACGCGCGGCGCTACACACTCGTACTGAAGCGCACACGTATGTGTTACTGGAAACGCTGAGAAGGCGAGGAGCGCGAAAGGAGAAAGTAGTGGGGCGCTCTGATATTCTGTCTTTAACATAAGGCGCACGATTAAGAGAGAAAGCGTAATTGGACGTGATGCCGGCTTACGCTGTCTCACACATTTATTATTAGTACGAGTGAGATACCCCGGTGACTTTCGCTTGTCAATATTCATAATAATGCTTTTATTATGCACAAAATGTTGTAATTGTGCATACAAATTTTTAATACTGTAAAAAATTTTTGTACATAATTACAGCATTACGTGTAATTTTGAGACTCATTGTAATAGCTTTGCATGCATTTCTAAATTTGCAGTGTGCAAATGAAATTAATATTTTGCATCGTAAGATTGTAAAATTAAATTTACAGTTAAATATAAGAACTTTAATTTACAGTTAATAAAATAAACAAAAAAAATATGATATATTGTAATGCCGCGCGCCGAAGGCCAGGGGACACCATTCCTACCGATGCGTGTACACATATATGCACACAAAAAAATTAATTTTATCGCTTAAAAAAGCGATTACTTAATAGACTTTTTTTTTTAATAAGTAATGGTTATCTTGTTGAATTTATGTTAGATTTACGGATATAAGAACTTGTAAAATTATAAATAATATTTATTCAAATAATTTATAGTATGTATAATTTGTACGTATGGATATATATTTGTATGGATATATATTTGTATAATATAAATTATACATACTATAAGTTACTTAAATTAAATAAATATTTCTTATTTCTAAGGATGCACCGAATATTCGGAAAATATCTGATATCTGGCATTATCCGCCACTTTTTTACTATTCGGCAGAATAGCCGGATATCATTGATATCCGGCAATATATGCGACTGAAATTTTATATTGATAGTTATGTCATTAATGCAGAATTTTATGCTTATTACCTAAATACACAGTTTAATTTTTCTCTTTTTCTTTTGACAAAATAGAGAAAATGATTATCATTATTTTTCTCCTGTTGACCTTTTTTTTGCCATTTTCCATATATCCGGGGAAATGTTCAGTATCTAGCCGGATAATTGCCCTACCGGATATTCGATTGGATATCAAATATCTGAAAACAATGAACACCGCGTATCGATATCCGGTAATTTTACGATCTGATGAATCCCTACTTATTTTAAATATTTCATAAGTTTATATATCCTTAAAGTAGTATTGGCATGAAATGATTTTTCTTACGAATGTACTAAACTTTAATACAATACAAATAAATTGAAATGCTCTCTATGTTTATGTGTAATAAGAACATACATATTGACCGTTTAGTTTTTTTAGATAATTGCATTTAAAATGTGAGTTTTAACATATAATGCATATACGCAACTCAAATTAACGTCAAATTTTTAATTATAATCCATACTTATTGTATGATTGTTACAAAAAATGAGCACGCGATGGAGGAAACGGATATTGTCAAAAAGGTCACAATTTTTTACAGTTCAGTTAGGAAAATATAGTCGCGAAAAAACGCAATGTTTCGATTTTCTTTGCGGCATATGGTAGAGTAACTGTCCCTATTAATATGCCTTTTAGCCAATTTGTTTATTACTGAATTAATTTATTAAATAATTAATAAATTATTAATTATTAAATATTGTAGCTTTAATTTTATCTACTTGCAATCAATGTCGATTTTTCAATTATTTCTTTTTCTTATAATATTTCTTTAATCTAAAAAATGTTAATACTTTATAATGCTTTTGACAAAAATAGAAAACATATTTTTGTCTTTATTAATGAGTCCTCTCACTAAGCGGCGATGGCTCTATTAATGTGCTCTAAATTTGTGTGCTTATCCACATTTGACTCATTTTAACATATTAGTTACTAAAACAGATAATAAATTTAAGTTAATTGTTTATGTTAATATTACATAAATCATTATTTCAATTATATTTATTACACTCATAATACAACGTTCTCAGCTCCAATACAGGGCACATTAATAGAGATAAGCTTAAAATCTTGCTATACGTATTACTGGATTTAATATAAATTCCTCTTTCGAAAAATATTTAAAATACTTTAATACGCAAAAAATAAAATATTATCTTGGTGTCGTGTGTGTATGCATTAATAATTTAACTTAACAAAAAAAAATATTTTTTCTTATTTATTTGTGCTTTCTTTATGACTTATCGAAATACAAAAGTACACTAATAGGGACAGGTATAGTAATTGGAACAGTTACCCTAGCGATTGAAGGGAATAATGAGGAGCGGAGAGGACGGTCAGCGAGCATCTGGCATCACCGGCGTTAGTCTATCTGTATTTATTTTCTTTCCGCGTGTGCGTGCGTCCTTGGACAGGCACAATCGAAAGTTTTCTCTCTTTGGCACGAGTGAGGTATCACCACCGCGACGGAGCCTAAACTTTTGGACTCGCACTAATATACCTTAAATTTATCATAAATTCATCACAAGCATTATAGAGTGTAGCAGAATATGCATGAAATTTGCCTCCATACTAAATTAGACTTGCTATACGTCGATTCTTAAACTTCTATGTAAGAAACATTTTCACCAATATTTAACTTCCTATCTTCATCATTGCGAGAATGGCAATTAAAAATATTTTTTAATTATAATTTCTTATACTCTTCTTTCTAATTCATGAAAAATTATGCAAAAAATTAGTCATGTTTTATTCATCAAAAAACATTCCTGGAAATTTTTAGAGATTTTTAGGATAATTTTTAGGAAATTTGAACTTTTTAAAATTGGAGAAGTTTAAAATTACCAATATTTAAATGAAATTATCGAGTGATTAACTTCATATTTTTTTGTCGCGATATTTTTCTGATATTATTCATCTTAAATTATAATATTTTTTAGAATTAAGCATTAATGTTATAAATTGAACATGTATGATACTTTCTCACTTTTTTGGACAGAAGTGTAACTTAATTAGATTGATGGTCATTAAAATTGCAATATAATATTGCAAATTTAATGATAACTTATTATAAAATTTGCATATGAAATATTAAAATAATAATTTTTTGTAATATTGTTTATGATGAGAAAATTAATTGTATGAAAGAAAAACCTTGATTTAATTTTTATTTTTTAATACTAACACATTTTCCCAAATATTTAAAAAATAATAAAAATAATATTGAAAAGACGTTTTGACTACAAAAATATAATATGTCTCAATAAAGTAATCAAAACTTTACTGAAATAAAGTAATTTTATGCTTCTTAGATTAATAACGCAATGTTATTTTTATTTTACCTGGGAGTCTATTCTTGAAATCAAGCGATAATTATCGTATACGGAAAATATCGCATGGTCGGTATACGACTTCGAAATCGTATTCTCTGCTGCCACGCGATATATTGTCAGCGATAATTTTCGTATGCGATAGTTGTGTGATGTTGCCACATATCGAAAAAATGTAAAAGCCAATAGAAACAAAGTATAAGAGAATGTAACAAGTCAGCTGTATTTACTTTTAAAAGTTATGACCTGCTCTATATGAAAATAATAAAATTATCAGTTACAAAATATTAATAGTGAGGTAATTATTTAGTTTACCCTTCGGAGTAAAAACTGCGAATCAAAATGGCATCAATATGAAATGCAGTACAAAAACGCTGTGTATATATCAAAGAAAAACAGAAAAATTTGCTGCTTGGTAAATAATTTGCTTTCAATTTGCTTAATCTATTTTAAAATCTGGATATGCAAAATTCATAGCTTTAACAGATTTTTCTTTGAATTCACAAACAAGCTTATTTAAATTATAAAATTTTACAATTTATATTTATAGATATATTACTAATTTAAAAGCAAATGCGTTTTATATTTTGACATTTAAAATTAATTAAATAAACAATAACTACAGACCAATAACAATTATTTATTAATTTTTTAATACAAATGTCCTATAATATTTGATATATTAAATTACAGAATTTGTGCAAAAACATCCAAAGCTGCAAAATGGAAAGTTTTCAACATTTACTTTTACATTTACTTTTTTACATTTACTTAATAGATGAATTACATCAAATACCTGATGCAGTAAAAAGTTAGAAACAATGGCGAAAGGTATTATACGTATATTGATAGACAACTGAAATTCTTTGAACACAAGAAAAAATTATATACTTTGGATAATTTGAGCCTATTTTATCTGCATTATAGACTTGGCAAGATATATGAAGTTTCACTAAAGCCAAAAATACTTTGATTAAGAAGCATGCAAAACAAACTGTTGGCCTACAAATTAAGTTTTAACAGAAATGGATTAAAATGTCCTATCACTTATAGGTTCCACAATCGTGGAAGAACATAAGACAATGCAGGAATTTAACGTGCAATTTGTAAGCAATCTTTGTCATATTGTATAATAATTTCTGAAACATGTTAAGAAATTAATATTAATATAGAGATCTGTATGTTTTTTTTGCAGAAGTGCCTAAATAATTTAAATGTATGTAACGTAAATAATGGAGATGAAGAAAAATTTTTCATAATATGCAATAATCAAGAGATAACCCAAGAGTCACGAAACTCATTGTTTCCTCAAAATGATTATTGCAGCATGTCTAAATATGATCTATTAGAAGAAAGTTTAAACAATAACAATTGCACTAATAACATTCAAAAATCTTCAACAAACATAAAAACAACTGAAGTAGAAATACCAACTATTGCAATTGTCAATACATCACACATTTCTATAACAGCAACTTCAAATTTGATGTCAATAAAAAAAGATGTTAAAAGAACTTCTACTGTAGATATGACAAATTAATAAAATAGACTGAAAAGTTGACTACAATTTCACAGAATGATTACGACAATCATATTATGTAAAAAAATTCAAACTTTATAAGATGAAATTAGATTTAAAAAAAAGAGATATTATTGCTAAAGAAAAAATATTACATTATGTTGGAGCAATTTTTTAAAACAATTGAAGACTGACAGGCTGTAAAACAATACTAGAGTATTTATAAGTCAACCAAAGTTTCTATAAATTATGTTGAAATTTTACGTTGATTAAAATTTTATTTAATTTTATTTAGTTTAATAATTAAATATAATTTTTACATATTTTCTCTTAAAAATAAGAAATTATTTCCGTTTGAACTTTATTACCTAGTGACTTTAACGATAATGTACATTATTTATATTAATTTCTTTAAAGTACATTACCAAAGAAGGAAAAAAAGGACTTAATGCTACAAAGTGTTATTATATTATATGAATACTAAAAAAAATTACATATTTTTAAGACGAATATGTAATAACGTTAAATAAAAGTGACTCTTAAAAGATTAAAATTTAATTTTATTTGCCATGAGAAGTACTATCTTATTAGATTGTTGCGGACCAACTATCAGTTCATGATTTCTACTTATTGTATTTATTTCCGGTTTGTTTACACCATCCATAACATTCATACTGAAATTCAATACTTCATTTTCTACTTCAAATGTAGGTATAGGCGCGTTGTTATGAATGCACATATTATGCAGTATTACACAAGCATAATTTTTGAACACATATCTGACCGGTAATGTAAAACTCTATGTTCCGATTCCGGCGCGCTACCCTCATTACTCGAGACGCCGGACGCTCTAACTCAGGAGCGTCTCTGTAGCTTAAACGTGCGGAGGTCATACTTTATGTTATTAAAGAATTTTTTTCTTGTAAAATAATTTTTATTTTCTTAAAAAAATCAAATACTAAATTTTTTAAAACATTTTTTGTCATAATAATTTTTGCCTACTAGAAACTATTCAATAATTGTTATAAATTTACATCGAGAAATTTCTATAACAGACTTGCGAAGATTGAAATCAAGAAATACATGAATCTGGAAATTCCATGTTTTCCATGCGAAGTCTTACAAAGTCTTATCAAATAACAAAGATATATTCTATATCGCAATAACTATTTTCTTCTGTAAGCGAATATAATTATTATTTTAATTGAAATGATAAAATTATTAGTCGCCGCCCCGAACCGAAGCGTTATTGTTTACACATCCCACTGTCCACATAGGTTAGAACTCCCATAATTTGTTTTGAAGTAGTGTTTGTTGCGTGACCGTGAGAGATTTCTTAGCCTATATATAGTCATCAACTTTAACTTAAAATATCTCGATTCGTGGGGCAGAGCAACATTCTTTTTTTCTTGTAGATTCTTCATTTTCGTAAGAAAACGCATCGATTGAGTATATTTTTATAAAATTTGAGTGGACCGGAGTCTTCTTAACATTTACCCTTTTTTTAATCAAACGATATTTATAAATTGCTTTTCAGATAATTGAAATGGATCATCCCTTATGTGAAAACTTATGTGGTCTTTCATTATAATGATAAACATTTTCTAATTGTTTATTGATATGTAAAAAAACAGCATCTTGATATGCCATATTCATTGTAAATTAAAACTTCACATTAACCTCACTTTTGTCGAGAATTGCATTTATTACTATATTTGTCGTATGCGACTTGTATATCGCATGGACTATATTCACTCGATATCAGTCGTTCGATATTTTCTCGTATACGATACATCTCATCTGTTCAAGAATACCATTTCTGTTATCGCATACGAAATCGTATGTTACCGTATACGACATCTAGGGTCCTCCTTTTAAGAATAGACTCCCAATACTCTTGTACTAATGCTGTTCTTGCACTTGTTATTTATAATACTACATACTTTTATTTTATGTGTACTCTTGTATTAGTGCTATTCTTTTTATGTGTTCAGATAAGCAAGCAGACCTGTTAATGAAGTCTCTATCTTAGTTTATAATATCTCGATGCAAATGAGAATGATGTCGAGAACAAGAGGATGTATTGAAAATGTATGTTCTTGTCATTGTCCGCTTTGATTGGCGCCGTCGTATAGATGGTGCTGTCACTGGGCCCCCTGTAGGGAACTACGTTATCAATATCTCACTAGCGCAGCGAGTGTAGAAAGCCTAGGGATTTTATAGGTTGCGAGTTGCTTACAAGCAGCGTCAGAGACAAAATAAGACGTTAGATAGATTATGGCGCTCATCTTGTACGGTCATTTTCATTTGAACTCGAGTAATAAAGATTATTAGTTACCAGTTACAAGAAAGTGTCGATCATTACCTCTTATATCACATCACACGACAAGCGTGGGCTTGTCTTGAGAATTTGACTCATCAATCGAGTCACTTATTCCCACATTGGTGACGTGATTAGAAAGGCCGTCGTGATACGAAAGGCCGACGTGATCGAGAGGAAGAAGCGATTGACCGGTAACCATCGTTTGAGCAACATCGAAACGAACTGGTTTCGAACCGAGCAACAGTACATATCGCCGACGTCGTAGCCGACAAGGAGGCACATCGCCGACGTCGTGGCCGACAAGGAGGCCCACCACCGACATCGTGAGCAGGAGACCCATCACCGATATCGTGACTGGTCGCAAGGCCCCATCGCTGAGGGGCCGGCGGAAAAGTCTCGCCGTCGGAAGCACCGCAGGGACATATCCAACGACAGGCGCGCAGCGTGCCGCCTCTGTAAGAACCGGACGTGAGAACGGTCCAGCCCAGGAGCCGGCATTCAGGACGCCATCGCCATCGCCGCCATTGTGACCTGTGAAGGACGACATCGTCGCCATTGTGACCTGTGAAGGATGACATCGCCGCCATTGTAGTCGGGCAAGTTGCGTGCGCAGTGCGTTAGTTTTTAGCGCGCGTAATCCGGCAAAACAGGAAAGTAGACCCTCCGCGTTTTCTCCGCGAGGTTAACGCATGAATATTAATTAACAATTTCTTCTTTGTTGACAGATTAGCATTAAGCAATCGAAATTTTTATAGCGCGCGCGTACGCGGTTAATATTTAAGGCCGTCAGGAAATACGGATTATTCGCGAACTTCGACACGGTAGACGGGTAGTCATGGCTCCATACACCAAATTAAAACAGCGTATTATTGAAAATTTTTCAGCGTCAGCAGAAAGTCAACTGCGACAATTAATAAAAGGCCAAATGCTTACGTTAGGGAAACCGTCGCAGATCCTCAGTCGACTTCGTAACTTGAACTCTGACAAACGATTTGACGACACCGTAATAAAAACTGTGTTCTTTGAACACTTATCACCGCACATTAAAAGCATTCTTGCGACTACCGAAAGCACGGATCTGGACAAGCTAGCCAAAATGGCGGATAAAATAGTTGAGACCGTGGGTGACCTCTGCGCAGTGTGCCGTCACATCGTTGTCAGAATCGAAGCCGCCCGATAGAAAAGCTGAGATAGACCGTCTGACCGCCACGGTAGCCGCCCTCGCGGCTAAGGGCGAACGGCCCAGCAGATCTCAGGCGCGAGACGGGGCTAACAAAAATCGTAAGTGTTCCAAAGGCAGAAGCTCTTGTGTCTGCCTTTGGAACGGCCGCATCGTACTTTCGGGCCCAGGCGCGAGTTTGTAAGGGAACCGACAAATCCCCGTGTGATTGGTCGAAGCCCAAGGCTTTAACGGACGGAAAGGCGGGGGAATAGAATCGTCTGCCACCGAGGAGACAGGTATGGCGGGCGATTCTTCTGTCCGTCTCCACATCCGCGATCGAGTCACCGGAGAGTTATTCCTTGTAGATACGGGGACGGAAATTTCGCTGCTTCCCAGCACTTACGCGAAGAACAAAACTCCGATCAATTTCAAACTTTACGCGGCAAATAATACGCGTATAGATACATATGGGGAGTCGTTCCGAACGCTACATTTGGGGATACGCCCGATCACATGGAATTTCTGCGTAGCATCAGTTCCGTACCCGATTATTGGGGCCGACCTGATTGCATATTATAGTCTCCTTCCGGACCTTAAAGGTCGTAGACTCATCAATTCACAAAATAATGTGTATGTGTCGGGCATTCGATGCCACAACTTGTCATTAGCACGGTCAAACCCAGTACGAAATTCGCGAGCATCTTATCGGAATTTCCGAAGGTCACCGGTTTAGAATAGGCAACTCCGAATTGCAGTAGCGATTTTCGTCATCATATCATTACTACGGGCCCGCCGGTAGCCGAGCGTCCCAGGCGGTTAAGTCCGATAAAATTAAAAGCGGCAAAGGTTGAATTTCAACGGCTAGTCAAAGCCGGCATTTGCCGTCCGTCCAGTAGTCCATGTGCAAGTCCCATTCACATGGTACTAAAAAAAGGCAGATCATGGAGGATCTGCGGCGATTACCGTCGTCTTAACGCAATTATCGTGCCAGATAAATTTCCCGTACCGCATTTGCACGATTGCTTCTCCAACCTGCATGGGAAAGTCATTTTCTCTAAGCTAGATCTGCATCAGGCATACAATCAAATTCCAGTGGCATCGGAAGATATTTCGAAAACGGCTGTTATTACGCCCTTCGGGCTGTTCGAATATAAATTCATGACATACGATCTTAGAAACGCGAGTCAAACATTTCAGAGTCAAATCTTCCGCGCTCTAGGCGACCTGGAGTTTGTGTTTGCATTCATCGATGACATACTCATAGCGTCGACGTCTCTTGAAGAGCACGAAGCTCACTTACGCATAGTTATAGCGATTAGAAAAGTTTTATTTACGACTCAATGTAGATAAATGCGAATTCAGCAAGCAAGAATTAGAATTCCTCAGCTTTACGATTAATAGCGAAGGGTGTAAACCAACACTCGATAAGATTCAAGCTATTCGCGAGTTTCCAAGGCCTAACACTATAGTAGAATTGCGTCGTTTTCTTGGGCTTGTCAACTTTTATCGTAAATTACTGCATAATGCAGTTATCGTTCAGGCACCATTAAATGAGTACCTTCACGATTCACGCAAAAACGACAAACGGCCAATCATATGGACGCCGGTGGTT